TATTGACGAACGACCATCTAACCTAACGTAACCAAACTTAGCTTAACCTATCCTTAATAACATAAATTTTGAAATTTACTAAATAAGAAAATATGTGTAAAATTTTATGTGAAGAATCCAGTGACGAATCTATTACCAACAGTGGCATATCGAGTGATTACAAACAGTCGGAATTACTACTGTTTCTTAGGGTGATAGGTTGTGAAGAGAGTCTAAGTACATTTGAGGCTGTTGCAGGTTTTCCACCAGGTATGATGTATGCCACAAGTGTAAAATCTACTGTAGATGTATTATAGTCGCTGAACGATTCCTAGAAAACTGTGTTAGTATAACTTGAGCCTCAGTGTACATGACAGGGACTGTGCAGAGTACGTCATGCGAGTCTCATGAAGTTAAACATTAGCAGTGTAGATCTGAAGCTACGTAATGAGGAGCAGTGTTAAGAAGTCATCACATGGAAATTAATATAGCAAATCATCACATGGAAACTAATACTGCAAGTCATCATGCGGAAACTAATATTTAAGACATACACAACTCAGATCTAATTTAAACTTTGCACCATAAAAAAAAAACCAGCTTTGAAGATAGACTGAAGAGGCATTATCTTGTTATCTAAGAGACCAATATCTTACAATACACCAGAATAAGAAATTATTGCAAGAAAAGCAGTAATTCAATTTCCTCAAGTTCTTCAATAAAAAGATAAGTATACTGGGACCAAAACACGCCAAAATCAGTTTCAATTTTTATTTAAGCATTGGAAACACAACATACCAAAGTATAACCCCTGTCTTTAGGTAGCACAGATTTTATGCGCCAATAAAAATACATTATGTTGATTTAACCTACGATAACCCAATAAAGTCAAACACTGTGACTTATTTCTGATCAGAAAAGACATTCTCTAGTTATTTCACAGAAACCAATTAACAAAAATTTACACACCTGCACTTACGCTTCATTAAATGAAAAGCAAAACAGATCAGCACTAAAAGTTGAATGCTGACTGTAAGATGCTGTATAGCCCTTGTGGCTTAGCGCTTCTTTTTTATTATAATAATAATATTGACTGTAAGATGTATTCTCCAGTCACACAGAACACAACAAAACTTGTACATACACAGTTTATACCCAAGACACGTTTCATACATTTTATATATTGCATCAGCCAATAAATATTGATGCCATTCACAACAGCTTTATTTTATTCAGGGGAAAGCGCTAAGCCCGTAAGAATAGTTTAACACCTGTGGAATGGGAGGCATGCATATCTGACTAAAGCAAGGGGAGAATAAGTCCAGTTCCTTAGATCAAAACCCCTCACCAACGTCAAGACAAGTAAGTCCCCTCACCAACGTCAAGACAAGTAAGTCCCCTCACCAACGTCAAGACAAGTAAGTCCCCTCACCAACGTCAAGACAAGTAAGTCCCCTCACCAACGTCAAGACAAGTAAGTCCCCTCACCAACGTCAAGACAAGTAAGTCCCCTCACCAACGTCAAGACAAGTAAGTCCCCTTACCAACGTCAAGACAAGTAAGTCCCCTCAGGTAGCATAATCCAGTTATGTAATGGAAAATATTGTCTTACTAGTTTAAGATTAAAAGTCAAAAAATGGCATCCACACATTCCATTAACAACGGCAACTTTCTTCTAAATAGGATACACGAACATTGAAATTTTGAAGCTGATCTAAAGAGGCTTTTTATAGTTACCTCATGGAAACCAATTTTGGTAATGAATTACATAAAACTGAGAAGAGGGCACCTTCACTTGTCAATTGTTCCACGAACCTTCACTTGGTAATAGTTAACTAGGCTTAAGTACTGATGCTGGTCGGATAATGCATTCTGTAGCTGTCAGTGAAAGGTTTGTAGTAAGTTAGTGGTAGACGAGGTCACTGTACCTAACAATGTCGCTGCTCTAGCATAAAGTTTTTATGGGTTCACTAAACTTGTTACGATTATAATCATTAGTTGATCTATTATTCCTGAGTGGGGAGGCTTCTAACCTAGAAAATGCTTGTTCTAGTCGGCTTCAAACCCTTAAGCACTGGAGTATCTTTAGTGGAAGTATTTTTTTTTATTGAATTATTTGTTTAAAAGCTGGTCAGTCTTACTTAGAACATAAGAACACAAGAAAGAAGGAACACCTACTGGCCTATGTGAGGCAGATCCAGTTCCCCTACCGGCTTAAGCTCACTGACCTAGTGACCTTGACCTCACTGACCGTCTGACCTCACTGACTAGTGAGGTCAGACACGTCACTTAGGTCCAACTCACACCCACTCATGTATCCAACCTATTTTTAAAACTACACAAGGTCTTAGCTTCTATGACGGTACTCGGGAGTTTGTTCCACTCATCCACAACTCTATTACCAAACCACTGCTTTCCTATATCCTTCCTGAATCTGAATTTTTCCAATTTAAAACCAATGCTGCGAGTCCTCTCTATGTTAGATATTTTTAGCACGCTATTTACATCCCCTTTATTTATTCCTGGTTTCCATTTATACACCTTGATCATATCCCCCCTAATTCTACGTCTTTCTAGAGAGTGCAGATTCAGGGCCCTCAGTTTATCCTCATAGGGAAGATTTCTGATACATGGGATCAACTTTGTCATCCTCCTCTGTACGTTTTCCAGTGCATTTATGTATATCCATTCTGTAATACGGTGACCAAAACTGAGCAGCATAATCTAAATGAGGTCTAACTAAGGATATATAGAGTTGAAGAACAACCTCAGGACTCCTATTATTTGTGCTTCTTGATATGAAGCCAAGGATTCTGTTAGCTTTATTGCGAACACTTATGCACTGTTGTCTTGGTTTTAAATTACTGCTAACCAGAACTCCTAAATCCTTTTCGCAGTCAGTAATATTAAGATCTACATTATTTAGTTTATATGTGACAACTTAAAAGTATGCAATTAAATAAGCCCGATTTTGACCTGTGCAGCCTCCCCCATTTTTGGGGGGAAGGGGAGGGGTTGAGGGAAGGAACTGGGTATATTAAAATACTGCTTCTCATATGATATTTTCTGAGCGTCGCATCAGATTACTGAAGCTTCAACCCTTCAGGGCTGATAATAATAATTTCTATATTTCTATAATTACATGTACAAGGTATACAGTCCTAGCTGGCATCAATGACATACTACTTTATAGAAAGCCCCTTGTTATGCTGAGCATATCGGGAAAATTAAGTCAATTTTGTCCCAGGATGCGACTAACACCCAGGTACCCATTGTACTGATGGGTGAACATGGACAGCAGGTGATTTATGGAAACACGTCCTGTTTTCCAGCCGTACCGGGGGATCGATCCCCGGATCTCAGTGTGTGAGATGAGTGTGCTAGCGATCGAGCTAGAACGCCTCTTCAATTTAACTTGAGAGCTTGTGTTTCTCCGTGGAAGGTTTGAATTAGATTTGGGCTGTCTCCTAATCTGCCATTTTTATTGAAAAATTTGAGAAATTAATATCCAAATGATGACTTGTGAATGCTTCGTCTGATTCGCTTCAATTGTTAAACACTTATATGCATTACAAATCTGTGCCAAACTTTGCAGTATTCGTATCACGTACATTGCACAAGGCCTGTGTAAGATTGCAATACTTTCCTCTAATTGACCGAAATCCATCTAATTGGTAAGTTTCTCAGCTTGATTTTTCTGGTTGAGTAGACTAGTGTGTCAAGCAGAACATCGTTTACTAAAATTAAGTCTAATTAAATGCATACTTCTGATAAAACGATATTTTAATTTAAGTATTAATCGAATACTTATTAATAAGATGTATGATGATTACTATCATTGTGATAACATCGATGTTAATTATTTCACCCAGCATTCTTAATTGCAAATGTTGATCATAAGTCCAGGAGAATCCTGTGGTCCTTCATGACACTCATTACTCTCCTAGAGAATAGATTTAATAACATCAATTATTTTATAAGCAGAATTACTTATAACATTTGCTTTATCAATATAGTCCAACTAGCAGAACTGTTGGTTCTATTGCAGAAGGTGACCATACGAGGATACGACTGGATACAGACCTTAGAACTTAAGTGAGACTTTAAAACTTTAGTATTTAATAATGTGTGCCGTGTTCTTTGGGCAAGTTCTTGTTAGTATTTCCACCACATGTTTTGGTCTAACAATATATAATAAACAACGTGGGTTATTTAATAAGCTGAGGGAGACCTCAGTGAGGAGGTGACACAATTA